AAGAGTGACATTTAAAGCGGTCCAGCCCAGGCCTTTATAAGGGGGAACCTTTTGTCTGAGTCCAGCCCACATTTTGGGGGGCCTTACGCAACATCCGAGTGTACGATAATTGAAGAATGGGGATCGATCGGCTTTGTGGTTTCGGTCTTTCGGTCTTTCGGAATGCCATTCAGAGGATTGTTTCCAGACTCCAGACTGTGGTCACAATCGAACCGAACTGTCTTTATGATGTTAAATCACAAGAAGCCTGGGAACTCGATGGATACTACGATCATGGTCTCTCAGATTATGATGGATCTACCATGGCGCGATGTGGATTCTTTTGTAAATATGAATGGGCATTGTCTGTGTGAATATTTACTGCATCAAACATATTTTTGGTATTTGCCGAGTGATAAAAGATTTCAACAGCGATACTTCAATCCGAATCCAATAGATCGTGAGCACAACCGACTGCCGAGACGGCTGAGACTCCTCAAGAATTGCAAGAACAACATGAATGGCGTGTAGGGTACTCGCTGCTCCTGTCGCAGTTCCTCTCGCTAATCCTCTCGCTGCTCCTCTCGCTTCTCCTCTCACAGCTCCTCTCGCTGCTCCTCTCACAGCTCCTTTCGATACTCCTCTCGCTACTCCTCTCGCTGCTCCTCTCGCTGCTCCTTAATAAGGGTTGTTTTTGCCATAGATGATTGATATCAAAGTCAAAGCAAAGACCACTCAACAGTTCAGGGTTGCATAGGACTCCACGTACGATTATGGTAGATGGGTGGAGTGGTAATCCCCCCTCAATTAACGTTCATTCGTTCCGTTCTAAGCCTACATTAAATTGTGTAAAATTACACAACTCTGTTCCGCTCGATCATCTGGAAATTGGTTTAGTAATCGCTCGCAGAGCCAAAACGCCTGTAATTAAGTTAATTGCGGACTATCTATCACTTCCCGATTCATTATTCATTCACGAATATTAATTGTTTTATAATTTGAAGGGGAATGAAGGCGGCTTGCAGCTAATTGTGAGCAAACAGAAAACAGAAAACATCAAATCAGGCGTGGAGTGGAGGCACTCATCCACAGCCCAGGGCCCGCATTTGATGGTTAAATATCTTAAAGATGTTGTAATGCAAATTACAGTCCCCAGACGCAAAACATTCCATTCCAGTCCACTCTGCTCCACTCCACTTCGCGCTCCCAAAAATGTGGGAAACGCCAGCGAAGATTGCGATTTGTTGACGCCTCTTTGGGTCCCTCTCTCTGGGGCTCTGGCTTTATTTAATTAATTAATCAATAAGTTAATCTGCGACAAAAGCCAAAGAAATCTGGCTATGAATTTTCGCTAAATCATCAATAAAAAGTGCAAATATTAAATGAAACACGAGGGAGAGTATCTGAGAAAAGCTTCGACTCGTCTCGTCTCGTCTTGGCCTCATGTTGTTGCTGTTGCTGTTGACATGCACATGACTTTTCTCCTGACATTAGAAAGTAAATTGCCATGAGGCCACTTGGTCAACCGTCAGAGGCATGCACTCCAGCAGCACCACAGCAGCGCCACAGCCGCCACCTCAGCCACCTCAGCCACCAGCCATCACATTTATAAAACTTTATTACGAAAAAAAGGGGAGAAAAACATTTCTATTGAACCTGATCAAATGCAGGCGGTGGAGGAGGAACAGGAGGAGGGGAGGGCTGAGCAAACAATTGAAAGTCAGTTAGCCCAAGTGCCTCGGCTTTATTATTATTAATTGGATTTGACTAAAGGAAAGTCCGAGACCATTGTCTGACCCTGAGACAGCGTTTCCCATTTCCATTTCCATTTCGATTATTCGCAATAATTTCAGTCGGAAATGCAATTCTCTCCCGTCCCGTGGAAAGACTCGGGCCGAGAAGCGAATGTTTCGAGGGCTCTTCGAGCAATCTAATCTTATCAGAACGGGTTAACCAATTTCTTTCTATTTTTTTTGCTCACCGAACAAAGTACAAAAACACAGATACACAGATATACAGATACACAGATACAGCTCGTGTGTATGTGGGTGTCCCTCTCTCGCTCTCTGTTGGAGGCCCTGTTGGGTCGAGTATTGGATCCCCAATTAATCGACTGCAAATTGACGCACTGGTCGTCCGGTGATTCATCGCCAGATAACGAAATTTGATTTGATTCTTTCATTTTTTTTATGGCCATTGCATGCGTGGCCCACAATTTTAGTAATTTCATTCAATCTTAACTCCGCAATCACTGCTTAAAGAAGTTATGTACGGTGTGTGCTTATTTCTGCTCAATTTATTTCGATATTAATCGATATTTCGTTTCCTTCCTCTAGTGATCGGTCATCTAATGGCCTGCCATTAGAAGAGCACCTGAACGTCCGCCGGCATCGCTTAGAACTCGAGCCCTTAGCTCTGTTTGTTCCGGCTTATAAAGATTGCTAGTGCTTTAACTAGTACCTTATATAGTATTAATAATAATGGTACAAACAGTTCTACACTAAAGTAGGGGCATGGCAATCCCTTTTCAGTTTAATTGAATTTTTAAATGACAAATCATTTATCCGGTAGATTAATCGAGTTTCTATATGGCATTCTTTTATGGCATTCTATTTGTAATTCGTCATTAATCTCGTCGTTATATGTAATTCGTGGGATCTGTCTAATATTTACTTGCAAAGTGCCTTCAAAAATGAGAGGTGCGGAGAAAGAAATCACAGAATCTCAGAGGAAACCCATTGTACATAGAATTTCCTAAGTAAGCTGAAATTGTCGAAATTACAGAAAGGTTAGGAGTACTTTGGGAGGTTCAAAGAACAGAAGCCACCTTTTTTTAGAGGGGTTCCTTCGTAAATACATCTGTATGTGCATGAATCATCAACGATCTGAAGATAGATATGTAGAATATGTGCGTTTAAAGACAGGATGCATCCTAAGATCAGTTAAACCCTTAGATGTATCTACTATAAGTATCTGAAATGTCTCTGGGTAAATCTCCTCACAAGTCGGGTAGAAATAGGCAATGATCTCAGGATTGTTTCCTGCATAATCTCCTGCCATCTCCCCTGAATCCCTCAGCTCCTATCCGGTAGATTAATCGACATAGATTATACGAGAGATCTGGGCTGATCCATCTCGTGGGGATCTCGAGCATGCCGCCATACCAATGCGAAGTCTTTAGCTTTTGACAACACAAGTCGCCGCTTGGCTCTAAGCCGAGTCGCTAGCACTTGGGCTTTGCTGAAGATTTCAAATTTTAACGCTCGAAAGTCAATCAGAAGCACATGTTCGCAGGCACCCGCAAAAAGCCGCGAGGCCGTACCATAAATCAAGCATTAATAAAACCCAAATTGTGCGAATTTCGACAGCCTGCCATACATTTGAAATTCTTTGCTAAATGTCAATTAATTATTAACTGGAACCGCCTTCTGCCCATCTGCCTGCCTGCCTTTCTGCCTGGCGAGCATTCAAATTTGTTATTTAATTATAAGTCGCGGCATGTTCCATGGGCATCTGACAGAGGTCTCCTCCATGATGGAATGTTTGGCCCCGTCCCGGGGTCCCGCCCCCTCCCGTCCCTGGAGTTGGCTCTTCCGAAGCCTGTGCTTGCCTCATTTCCTGCGAAAGTGACGGACAGGCCAGCCGGAGACAATAAAGCACCACAATGATATCATGCTGTGCCTTTGAGTTCATCTCTTGCTCTGCGCCATGTTTTTGTTGGTTCCGAAAACTGTGTTCTGGTTGTGTGACCCCCGCCGACCAGGCCTCCACCTGCGGTTGGGGTTCAAAAGTTGAATGCGGAACCAACACAATGGCCCAAAGGGGCCCAAGATCATGTCGGTAATTCGCTGCTGAATGAATGAATCATAGCGGATCCAATCCTCCAGGAAGAATGGCAAGTGTGGGACATACTCCATTTTATGCCACTATCTCTAGGCAAATCAGGTTGAGGTTGTTCCAATAACAGGCAATATTTTATTGTGGGTTTCCGATTGTTTTTTTTTGGCGTACCTGCTGCTGGAACCGTTGTCCACGGAGTCACGCTTAATAAACCACAAAATGGAATTGCTGGGCCGTGTTGCCACGAATCGACCAGGGGGAGGGCAGGGCGGGGCGGGGGACTGCGGACTGCGGACTGCGGACTGGGGTCTGTTTGTAATCAAAAGCCGGCCGGTCAGCAAATCAAACCGAAACCCAGCCTGAAAGCACCTTGGCCCGGGGCTGAGTCAACTATTTTTAAAACTGTTTGTTGTTTGCTTTAGTTGTTGTTGTTGTTGTTGTTGTTGTTGCTGTTAAATTGCATTTAATTGTTTAACAAAATGCCAAAGCGCCTTATGGATATGTATCTGTGTATCTGTGTATCTATATCTGTATCGGAGTGTGCAGAGATAGAGATATAACTTATAATACAATTGCTCATGTCGGGCTGGGGGTTGGGGTTTGTCTGGGGTTTCGGTGGGTTGTTCATTGACAATTTTCCGTTGAAATGCTGTTGGTCACCTGCCAGCGGTCCCCCCTCCCCCCCCGTTCCGCTCCGAACCGATCTGTCCGTCTGCACAACAAGTTTATGATTGCTGAACCCGTTCCAGGTTTTATTACGATGTCTGTTGTTGTTGTGTTGGCTGGGGCTTGGCTTCGTCTGGCCCGGCCCGACCGTACACTGCGGAAGTTTCAGGCCAGGAAAAAAATAGATCACGGGGAACGGTGCCGGGGGGGAGAGGGGCGGGAATTTTTGCATATTTTAAAATGCAATTGGAAAGGTGAACATTTTGTGCTCTGCTCTGCTCTGCTCTGCTTAATTGCGATTGACTCGTTTATGGTTTCGTAAATGATTTCCCGCCAACTGTCCAAACTGTGACTGTAACCGAATCCCCACCGCCCTCCCCCTCCCCCTCCCCCTCTCCCTCCCCAGATTATGGCCATATTTATGCCGTATTATTATTATTATTATTATTATTCACAATTTTTACAATTGCCATAATCGTAATCCCCACTTCATTTCTGTTTCGTCTACTCCACAGCCTTTGACAACAACAATCACGAGCATCATCACCACCATCACCATCAGCACCATCATCCGCACCACACGCCGCTCGTCGTCTCGCATCGAAAGGTGAGTGATACCCCCATGGAGGCTGGGGCTGCTCTTTCTTCTTCCTATTCCCTGGACATGTACTCGTATTTATTTCTGTCTCTCACGTGTCTGTGGTGGGGGGGGACTGGGGGGGAACTCTTTTTAGTGCCCCACAGATTAAAGATTGGAGATTACAGATTAGAATTATGGCTCGTAAAGCTCGCTCAAATGAGTTCATTCCGTATGGATTGTCCGCGTGTCTATGGTCATGTCTTGTCTTGCTGCGGTTCCGGTTCGAGTTTTAATTAAGTTCTAATGATTTATGATAATAGAAGGGGCACTTTGAGGCCCGGGAAATGTGGTTTCGCAGGGCAGATCAAAGCGGACCAGTCCGTCATTGGGCATTCCCATCAGGTGGATCTTCTGGTGCTTAAAAGTCTCTGAATTGCACTTAAAATTGGACTCAACTAATTAAAGACCAATCATCCAGTTTTAATGGTGTGTTTTTATGTGTTTTACGTCGCGGCGTTGGCTCGTTATAACAATTTCCAATAAGTGAACGGCCCTTCCTTTCGAATAACACGGTTTCAAGTAATGCGAATGTTTGTTTGGGTTTTAGATGAATAGGAAGAGCCAGGAATATCGAGTATAGTTTCAATATAGAACCAGTATTGAAAGAAAACTGAGTGAAAAATACTAAAATCTACGCGTGTGGCTCCGATCATTGGATGCCCAGAGGGTACGCAATCTTCTTCAGAACGAAGGTAGATATTGGGTTGAGAAAGGTCTAAAGATTCAGGAAGTAGTTCATTAAATGATCTTCCAATCCATTGAATAGAAGGATGCTGCCAATGTAGGGTTCCCCTTGTTAGTACTTTCTTTTATATCTTTGTCTCCCATTGAGAGATTTTCCGTTTTGCGCACAAAAGAAAGTGGCAGTCGGTCGCTCGATGGTCAGAATATCAGACATAACGTTATTTTTATTTATTCGAATGTGTTTTCGGGGAGCCCAGAGAGCTCCCCATGATTGGTTTTCTTTATTCGTGCGCCAAGAAGTGGAGGTACCCCAATGGTGTTTTCAATCAACCTAAGGAATCTACTCTCCGCTCTTCGGCTCGCATCAAATTTAACAGGCCATAAAGCAAAATGAGGTACAACCAGCACAACATCTAAGACTGCGACGGCGACTATGAAGGGGAGAGCGAGAGCGAGAGCCCTGGGATAATGTGTGAAAGTGTTGGCGGCACACAGCGGCTTTATGGCGATTTTAGCAGATGTTCAACATGCCCAGAAAACTCCTCAGTGCCCGGTGCCCACCCCCTCCTCCTCCATCGAGTGCGAGTGCCAGTGCCAGTGCGAAAGTGTTTTCTGAAAAGCCCACGAAGAATGCACTCGAGGGTTTTCTGGTCGGTTCCCAAGCTCAGGCCGAAGCCAAAGAGCGGAGGAAATGCACAGGCGCTCCACTCCGGTCCCCCCTCGGAGGAGAGTTCACATGATGATCGTTAGTAGCTGTTGTTGCCGGGTTTCGGGGGGCAGGCTTGAATCGCTGGTAAGGTAATTAAAACAACGAGCATCTGGTGCTGCAGCGGCGTCGTCGGCAGCGGCTCTACCAACTGCATTTAGGCCCAGAAGATCGTAACATGGAAGCGCGAAGTTTCTCTACGCCTGAACATTTTTAATGTATCTTTTAGTTGGACGGGATGCGGATGGGATGCCCCACAAGAGAGCTGCCTCTGCAGCCTCTGCAGCCTCTGTTCCCCCTCCCCAGATGCCGTTTTCAATTAAGTGTTGCCGCGATTGTTTCCATGTAATGGGTGTGTGTGAGAAATATGCATGTTTCGCTGCCACTCAATGGAGGTCGTTCGTTCCTTATGTTCTGTCCCTGCCACCCCTCCTCCCCCCCCCCTGTCTGCTCCTCTTGCGAGTATGAGGCACTGCCATTGTCTTCGTTCCATGTGAAATTTCCTAGGCCTTCTGAATGTCGATGTCGAGATGGGGTTAGCCTTAAGATTCTTATAATTTACGCTCCTACAAGACCCCTGCTTATGAAAAGCGGGGAAACGGTGAAAATATGGGTGGATTTTCTTGGGAAAAGCATAGCCATTGAATATGTACAGTCAAAGGCACGTATTCACATTTCAAATATTAGTTTTTACGAGCAAATTTTAACCATTCTTCTAGGAACCATTGTGGATTCTGATAACCCCACTCTAATGTTGTTCCTTGATTGTTTTACAACTGTTTAAACCGAATAATTGGGACCAAGAAAGACATACAATCACTATTACTGCTGATCCCGCATGGGTTATGGTATAAATGGGTTGGATATTAAAAGAAAACATATCCAAAATTCAACAAAAATAAACTAGTACAATCTCCAGTGGGACCACAATTTTAAAATTATTTTCCTCGATTTATTACAAAAGAGAAAACGAGAAGAATGGAAGCCACTTCTCGGATGTTTGACAAGCTCCTTGTTCTACACTTTCTGTCCCTTTCTGTCATTGGAAGATAAGCACTTATGTATATCCCTTAGATACTTATGTATCGTATCTATTGCAAAGCAGACCGATTATCGTAGCATTTCCTTCTAGTGTTCGGAAGTATTTTCAGCATTTACAATGCCATTATTCCATTCGGTTGTGGGTGGCCTTTTCTGCACGTGTAGCAGATCCCATCCCCAAGCGATGGCATCGTGCCCTATCAGACAGTGATTTCCCCAAAACATGGCCATTACAGAGGGTCCCCAATTAATACAGTCCCCATCCACAGCCCATCACCAGCCCCCATGATGAATCCAGCGATCCATCAGCACTCGCTCATCGACTGAAACAAGCTCAAATTGGACATTATTATACAACAATTGCAAATTACCAGGAGGATGGCGGTGGTGGGGGGGGGCAGATTTTTCGGTCGTAAGGTCAGTCCTCCCCCTCGACAAAATATGGGCGTTAAAAGTGCGACTGCAATGCGCAAAAATATTCATTTGTTTAAGGGGTTGGGGGACGGTGAGGGGGAGGGGGAGGGGGAGGGAGTGTGAGAGGGGTGGGGGCGAACAACAATTGAAATTGAGTGGAAAAAACAATTGCCAGTGGAAGAGGTACGTGGCAGGGGCACAGACCCAGACACAGACAAAGTTGCGGCCGAAGGCAGAGAGACGCCTTTGCTTGAGAGTTAAGAGTGACAGCGCGTGCAGTGACATTTTCCGCTCGAACTGCACTTTAAACATGTTTGACCTTTGTTTTGAGTCGTCGCAGCTTTGGCCACAGATACTTGTATATATTCCCAAGCCAGAGCCCCAGAGACAGAGAGCCACAGAGAGAGGGAGGGGTGCCGAGTAGTTTGGTGGAGATGAGGCCTCAAGTAACTAACTATCGGGTTATGCAATTGCCCAAAGGACCGACCAAAGCGATGCGGAACTTATGGCACCTATCATATGACAAAGCGTGATGCAGACAGCAGACAGCAGATCGTTGGATTATGCATAAATACAAAAATTGATGATCATACGTGTACGGGAAATTGGGATTGGATAGAGTTGGAGATAGAGATGGAGATATGTTTATGGATACAAATTACTGGTGGCAGCCCACTAACCGCAGAAGACTTCATCAAGACCGTCAGCAGTGGCACTCGGCGGCACTGCCTCCTGGTTTTCCGGGCTCGTGGCTCGTGATCTGACTAACGGACTGACTAACTGACTGAATGACAGCCAAATGGGGCTGTGGGCTGGCGGCTGGGGGGCGGCTCGGGGGCAGCTGGGGACTAGGAAGTCTGTGGCGAATTTCTGCGGTTAAATCAACCTACTAAGGTCGCCAGAAATTTGTAATCTATATCGCGGATTGCCAGCTGAATGCTGATGCGCTTCGCCACACTCGACTGCGTATAGGGAAACACACATACACTGAGAGAAAAACCTTCAAAAGTCCCAACCCCCGTCCCGCCCCACCAGGGGCTTGGATAAGGGCTTGGCCCTCCATTTGTTGCGCTTGCATTGCCATAAATACCCGCAGTACTCGTGTGGAGTCGAGTTTACAATGCAGGAAAAACCAATAAAGCGTTTGACAGTTCGCAGGGGGGGCATTTCTGTAATTGGTTTACGGTTTTCCAATATATATTCGGGTGCGGCTCCACAGATCCCTGCCCCGCAGAGCCGACACATCCGACAGATGTTGAGGCAAGTCTGAGGTCCGCCAAATAGGATTACCTCTCCTCCCACACCGACACACCGAGACACCGAGACACGGCTTTTGGTCGCTTTTGGGGGGCTTTAATTTCCTTTAATTGGGTTAAAGGGGCGACTGGCGAAAGAGTTGATCGGAAACGGGAAACAGGGCAGGGCATTCCGCATGAGTTCCAGTTGGGTTTGGCCCAAACTTCCCCTTGAGATTCCCACTAATCAAGGTCCAAAGAAATGTTACAAAATTCTATGAATAATAGAGCAACCCTTGAGGTGTAGGCAGCAATCTTCTTCGCTCATTGTTTAAACAAAACAAATATGAATTACATTAAGAAGCCACAAACCCCATTTTGGCTGTCAGGGTTACGAGTCTCGGGTCTCGTGTAAAGAGCTTCCATATCTCCGCAATAGATAAGTACGGACTGCAGAAGCCGTGGCCTAAATTGTCATAGATATCGGATGGCACTCGCACACGGCCCCAACTTTGTGCAGGACAGTGTACTCTTTGCGAGGTGATTGGGTAATGATTGAGCGGAGAATGAAGCAACACCTGGTCATGCCCCCCCTCGGTGGAGATACAGTACTCGGGGGGCACTCAGGCAATGCAAACCTCGGCGCAGATCAAGGTTCTAAAGGCACTAAAGCCAGTCCCGAAAGTGTGCACAATTATTTACTGCAAATATTTCCCCCTGAAATGAAACACTTTGGGCCCTGACTCAAGTTCGGGTGTGCTCCCAGCGGAGTGACTAAGACCTTAGCGGCCCAAAGCGAGCAAGAGCCGAAATAAGTCATAGCCGTTTTTGTTTTCAGAGCGTGAACAGCTGGCTGGCCTACCTGTTCCATTTAACTGGCCCGCCTG